TTTTTGTCTGTTACCTTTATGTGCTTTGAGACACAATATGAAGGAGACAGGATGGATTATGCTCTTTCTCAAAAGTCTTGGTTATACATATCTAGTTATTCAGCACTGACTGGGTAGTGCAGGCAGGAGAACTGGTTTAAGTTTAAAGAATTAGGTTCCACAGGTTAGCCATTGGAGCTATTAGATACTAAGTGGACAATTAGATCAGTCCATTCATGAGTCACATAGGTTTGTTTGGACTGTGAATCCTCTTTCAGTAGAGTAGTGGAAATATTTACCGTGGTGAAAGAAAAGGCCTTTAACAGGATCTTCTTTGTTGGTGGACGAAAGCTCAGGACCGGTCCACCCCACAAAGGGTCTTTTGTCCAAAATGGAGATGTAATAGCAAAGCTGAAGCAGTGTTGATAAGAGAATAATGAGCAGCAATTTGATCATGATGGGTTTTTACTGCTTTTATGACTAAAATAAAATATTTTTCACTAATGCCTCATCACAATTTCAATAAGATTTTTTGTTTTGTGTTTTTCACACAATGTCCTCATTGTACTGAAAGTATTGGCTTTGTGTGTTTGGTTTGTCCATTGTCATGGACTGGCACAAGTCTTTGTATTATTGTCACTCAGCTACAAACTTTCAGATCCTTCATTTCTCACATTTCTCAGTGTGGAGGCAGTGACCGCATTAATACTGTAGCTCATATGTAATTATGTTTACATGAAATTGACTCTTACCATGAGTATTAATCTTTGTTAACCTTGAGTTTGGCTTGAGGGCTGACTCAAAAAATAAGTATTAATCAGTACATTGCAGTGGTTACTGAACAGTTGAAGACATGTGGAACAACTTTTGCTGGGCATTTTATTGCCTGGTGTTTCTCACAAGAGGCCGGTTCACTCTGTTATCTGTATAGATTGGCTGAGTCAGATCCAGAGCCGATATGAGAAGAAATGTGCTGGGTTTTACTCATCAATGTTAGCCAGATGGCTGTAGTCTTCCTCATGAAACAGGCGTCAGGATGACTGAGACGAAACTACACTGTTTTTGTGTCGATCGTACGATCAGTGACTGGATTGATGCAAATAAGTTTAAAAACAAATGTATTTACGTATAACATTTAAAATTTTTAAACAAAAAATAATTATTTGTCTTTTAACTGTATTCCTGATGTTACTTTAGCATTACTAAAAAAAAAATACTAATACCAGTTGGAGTTGGATTTTCATTTAGCATTTAACATCATCATTGAACATTGATGATTCCCTGTAAGTTCTACGCCAGATGCCAGAACAGTCAACATCCTGTTTGTGTTGGGAAATGCATAAATTTGAGTTACAAAATAAAATGTTTTCTCTCATGCAGTATTTTGTCTATTTGTTTTGCTCATATTTATAATGTATTAAGGCTGTGCAATATATTATCTGCCAGTAGATGGCAGAATAGGAGTAGTTATCTATTCAGTACGTGTAACTAGTTGTTTTTTTTGACCAGACAGCCATGAGTTTGACACGTCCGGTGCAAACTTTGTTTCCCCTTAAAAGATTAACACAGCCCTTTCAACAGGTTTATTTTAAAAGCAGACATATCTATTAATAAATGAAGAGCTGATTTCGTTTCATATTATATGTTTAATAAAACCCCGTAATGATATCAAAACTTGACTTGTTTGATCGTTTTTTCCATAGAATAATACAATAATGGGGCGCCCAGGTGCCTCACCGGTAGAGCTGGTGTCCCATGTACCAAAGCTGAGTCCTCTGCAGTGTGGACCGTGGGTTCGACTCCGACCTGTGGCCCTTTCCTGTGTGTCCTCCTGTGTGACCCTCTTCAGCTGTCTTGAAAAGGAAATAAAAGTATAAAAGAACTAAAAAATAAAAACTATTGCAATTGGTGTGGAGAAGTTAACCTCAAACCAGTTTTAGCTATATTTCTAACAGGACCTTATTTATATTTAATTTGGTGTGTGTAAGTCCACATTAGTTAACTTTTTTTTTATTTAACCCACTTAGGGACTTCTTTGAACTACACGTCGTTTTATTATAGTATACCACGCTTTTGCTCAAAAACAAATCAGTCAGTTACTAAAGTAATTTAACGTAATTATAAAATGTACCACCGATAAGAAGAAGAAACAGACATTTCCCTCAACCAGATTAGAGTTTTATTTTTCAGTTATGAGGGGAAAATGTTCGTTTATACAACTGCTATGACACACAGGCAAAACTTTAATCCAACATCATGTCCGGACAGCTGTTTTCTGGGGAGCCACCAGCCACCTCACACATCACGTGGACAGATTGGATCTCCTCTGTCCGACCCGAGCAGATCCTGCCGGAGGAGAAGTTGGAGGCTTGACTGACGTCCTCTACGACCAATCACAGCTCAGAAAGGTCCACTCGTCGGCCAATCAGCTGCTTAGAGGCGGTAAAGGGTTTTCATGGATGGAGTCAGCTTGCACCGAAGGGAGTCAAGTTAAAAGAAGGACACTGAGCGAAAAGTGGATGTGTTTTGATGTGTTTTAAGTGGTGTGGAAGTCAGAAATGAATCACGTTTAACACTTGCACGGTGTTACTGCGAAGGGATACGTCAATTATTCTCGGAAAGAGTCATAAAATGGTGAGCTGAGGACTTTTTTGTGTGTTTCTGGCAAAGTTTTAAATATGGTTAAACATATCTGTTTTGCTAAATGTAAGTTCAGGTGAGCAGCACAAGTCGTTCGGCCAAATATTTGATGAAAAGAGACGAGAGAAGTGTGTATATTGTGTATTATAGTGACTTAAGTTTGTTTTAGTTTTTTAAAACAATGTACTGAGAGATGGTTAAAACGTGGCGCCTCAGCTAACTTTGCCAAGTGCCAACACTGTCAACTATCTGCTATAAGACAGTCAGTCCCGTCTCTCTCCCACAGCATTCATGGTAACTAATGCGTCCTAATCTCGATATCAACTGTTACAAGAACTTGAAATGTCTCAGCTAAACTTTTCCCGTGATTTAGTTGTGTTGAACATATCAACTGAACAGGGTACTAACACATCTCCTCAGCCTTTGACTGTCATGTAAAATGTTGATAGATGTGAGCCCACCCTCATACAGTTTAGATCCCCCTGTCCCTCTTCAAGGATGCAATTGCAGCTACAAAATAGCTGTTTGTACTCATTAAAAAACAAGTTTGCAGTCTACCTAATAACCACAACTTAAGTCATATGAAACATATACATAGTAAATATAAGAATCCATGTGGACTTAAACGCTCACCTAAAATATCAGCCAGTGTCTTCCTGAGCTGCAGTAGTAATCCCAACTACAAATTCAAGTAGTCATGCATAGCATTCCTCAGTGAAAGCACTGCACAGCTTCAGTCAAGTGGAAGATCCGTGTAAACAGGTAGTAAAACCACCATTTAATTCAACTGTTT